TCGAAGCCAATTCAACTTTGTCTCTCATCCCTCCCTTGAGTGCCTGCTCATCAAAATCAAAATCAAAATCAAGATCAAGATCAACTCCACCATTTGTTATGAATAGAAATCAAAGAGTAGGAAATTGAATTAATAATAGGGGCGACCTTGCCGAGGAGGATTTCGTTGGTGTGAGGGCCGTAGACGTCGGAGGTGTCAAGGAAAGTGACGCCGGAGTTGATGGAGTGGTGGATGAGTTTGATCATGTCTTCTTCGGGCTTTGGAGGCCCGTAGAAGGCTGACATCCCCATGCACCCCAGTCCCTGTCTCGACACCTCTAGACCTTGTGATCCTAGCTTCATTCTCCCTACTTTCGCCACTACCGCCGAAAACTCTTGCTTTCTCTCTCTAGAGTGTTTTTCTTTCACTTTTCGTCCATTTCTTCGCGTTCTACGCTCGTTTCGTCGTCGGATTCGCGATTTCGTTCGCGTTTCGGACATTTTCAACCGATCACATTTTTGTTTCGGTGCCTCGTTTGGCGTTCCCGCCTTTTCGGGGTTTGTTCCCCTTGTTTTCCTCTTCATTTCCGTACCTTTTCATATTCTGGCCTTTCCGGCCATTCCCGACCCTCTCGGGAGTCGACTTTTCGGTTGACTCTTCGTATTCCGGCCCGGTTTTCCTTCCTCCGACCATTTTCTCATCATTTCTGATATGGCGGACGATATTCCACGTGGCGGGACTCCCCCGGACCACGAGATGGATCCCGGGGTCGAGCTCTTACCGCTGAGCGAGCGCCCGTTCGACCTGGCGACCTACCGACCGGCGATCCATGTTCTGCCCCCCAACGGCCTGCGTCAGTTCCGGAGCTTCGAGAGGTACGTGGCACCTGAGCTACTACTGCGTGAGCCTACCTCCCACCTTTCATTCGGTACTTCCGAGGTAATTCTTTGTCTTCTGCTTTACTTTTCGCAATGTAGGATACAAAAACTGTCATAGCTAGTTGTATTCTTTAACTGCTGAAAACTGATATGCTGTAGACTGTAGTTGACTGTAAACATACATACAACTGATATCTGCTTGAGATTGACACATGCACACACACTGCACTAGCCCTGCATTACTCAAACACACTGCACTCACTGTATTCCACTGCATACACACTGGCACCCAGTATTTGTCTAAATCTGTCAAACCTGCATGCATGCTATATCCGTTCTGAAACACCCGAACATGCTGACACATCGCACGTATTTCACTGCGAGCACACCGGCACCCGGTATTTGCCTGAATCTTGTCAAACTTGCACACATGCTTTATCTGCTTTTTCAAAACTGCATTTTGAATGTTGTCTTGCAATTTTTATTTTCTGTTTGCAGGAGGGTTCCCATACCATCCGTGGGTATGGGAATACTGGTGCTCGGGAGTGGTACGGTGAGCTCCCTGATGTAGTCCGGCGCATCGTGGATCGAGCGGGTTTCGGCGCCTTCTACCGAGGACTCTCTAGGCTCTCCACTTGTAGGCCTCTCCTTGCCGCTCTGGCGGAGAGGTGGTGGGACACCACCGATTCTTTTCATTTTTCCACAGCAGGGGACATGACGATGACCCCTTATGATTTCTCGATGCTCACTGGCATCGGGGTAGGGAGGGATCCGATCCCATTTGACATCGACATGGATGAGTGGACCGCCGCTCAGGTCCATCTACTGGGGGAGGCGCCACCCCTTGCTCGCCCAGGTTTCGTTCGATACTCCTGGTTCGAGGTCCAGTTTTGAGTCCAGCCCGTGTTAGAGGAGGAGGCGGAGATGACCCCGGAGGACGTGGAGAGGTATGCTTGCGGCTTCTTCATGTTCCTGTTCAGGACTACCATCTTCGCCGACCGGGCGAACACCGTGCCTCTGTCTTCTCAGCGCACTGGTGGACGCCCGGGACATTCTGCACTATTATTGGGGCGGCGCCGCTCTGTCCACCCTCTACGGGTACATGAGCTCGGCTTCTCGCGGCAGCGGCCAGCTACTCGGAGGCTACTGGCGGGCTTGGAAAAAATAAATAAATAAATAAAGATTTAGGGACAAACTTACATATCCAAACTTATATACGTTTACATTAAAAAAAAATACAAATAGTGTTTGCCCACTCAACTATAGATTCCATATATATGTTTTTTTTAAACAAATTTTTATATACATCTCTCTCTCTCTCTCTCTCTCTCTCTCTCTCTCTCTCTCTCGGCGTCTCACACAAACACAAGAGCACCACCAGCTACTGCCCCTTCGAGCTTGGCGTTTGATTCTAATTTCGAGCTTGGAGTTCGATTATCTCTGAACCGCGCTTTGCAAATTCACAATCATCGAAGTGCATCAGAAGAATCAATCTTCAAACTCCAAGGGTTAGCATCTGATTACTCTCTCTTCCTAGTTTTCATTAGATTCGATATTTTTTTTCAGATCTGCAATTTTGCAATCAATTTTGTACATAGATGCATATGTAATTGTTGATGATTATGGTCTTAATGTTTTTGTATTTGATCAATTCATGCGTGATTTGTTTTTGTACAATCTGATTGAAGCATATGATTATTTGATTTGAGAATTTGAAAATGGAAAAGTCACATCACTATTCGCATCTCCTTGAAACAGAATTTTGAATTTAGGTTTCTAGGATGCTTGGATAGCTCTTTCAGACCTACATATTAGGTGTTAGACACGTTTGGAACATGGACACACTTTAAGTTAATTTTTAACTTTTTACGCAAAGACGTGTAAAAAAATAGAAAAAATAACTAACTTTTTGGCATTGTTTTGATTGTATGTTATTCATGTAGCTAATTCCACTTGAAAGTGGACTCATTTGCTTGGGTTTGGATCCAAAGATTACATGTAGCTCTGAGCGTAATCATATCCAATGATTACTTGAGTCTAGATGGATAAATCTTGGGTGTATCTTTCAAGGTTTTTTTTCTCAAACACAATAACTTTTAAGCTTTTATATGGTCATTTTATTGGAATAATAAATTTTGATGTAAAATTATCAGAGTGTCGAAGGATTATCTAGATGGAGCACGCAAATTTGTAGATATAGCTAAGGCGAATGTAGGGAATCAAGAAATGATCATTTGCCCTTGTAGAAATTGTCGAAATCTATCTCACCAATTTTGCGAGATTGTGTACGAGCACTTGGTCATGGAAGGGATGGATCCTAAATATGCTTCTTGGTTCCTTCACGAGGAACAACTAATTGCATCGTCACATCAAGAAGATGTTGAAATTTCAGATACATATAAGATGTTCAGAGACGTGCATGTAAAAGATGATGATTTTGGAGAGTCCATAAGTAAAAGTAAAGAAAGAGAGAATTAACACAATCATTAGAAGATGTTGAAACTCCTTTATATCTAGGGTGTACAAAGTACACTAAATTCTCAGCAATTGTTGCTTTATACAAGCATAAAGCTGCACATGATCATTCTGATGAAAGCTTTGATGAACTTCTTCGAATAGTGTCTGATATGCTACCAGAAGATAACACGCTTGTCAAATCTGTATATTCAGCAAAAAAGATGCCCAAAGCCTTTGATCTAGGATATAAGAAAATCCATGCTTGTGTGAATGATTGCTGTTTGTTTAGAAAAGATTTAAACCCTAAGGAGACATGTTCGAAATGCAACTGTTCACGTTGGAAAGTAGATAAACGCACTAAGAAGATTAAAAAGGGGGTTCCTGCGAAGGTGTTGCGATATTTTTCAATAATACCAAGATTTAAAAGGATGTTCAAGTCACAAGAGAGGGCAGACAACCAGTTGACTCATTGGCATGGGAATCAATTGATCGAAAGTGACCTTCTTTTGCATCAGATCTACGAAATCTTAGACTTGGTCTTTCAGCAGATAGGTTTAATCCTTTTGCCAATCTTAGCTCAAAGTATAGTTGCTGGCCAGTGATGTTAGTTACATATAACCTCCCCCATGGTTATGCAGGGCAAAGGAAAATATCATGTTGACATTACTAATTCCAGGGCCAAAGTAACCAGGCAACAACATAGATGTTTATCTAGAGCCGCTTGTAGAAGACCTGTTGCTTGTTCAATATGTAGCACTGACATATGTTCACAATGGTTGAGTAATAGTAAAAAGACTGTGTACATGGGCCACAGGCGATTTCTTGCACCCGACCATCCATTTCGGATGAAAAGAAGTTGGTTTGATGGAAAGCAAGAACTTCGAGGGAAGCCTAAACCATTAAATGGATCTGATGTTTTCGGTGTAGTTAAAGACATTGAAAATAATTCGGGAAAAGCAACAAAGGAGAGAAAAAGGAAAAAGTCCCAGATCAGCAAAGAAAAAGAGCCAGTTTGCATTCAACCATAGAAGAAGAAGTCCATATTTTTCAATTTACCATATTTGGATGTAAGTCTAAAGAAAGTAGAATTCCTATTTTCAAAATTAGTTGAATTTGTTATTTTTATTTTTTATAGAATGAATATTTGATTGATGTTACAGGCATTACTTTTGTGTCATAACTTGGATGTAATGCACATTGAGGAAAACGTTTGCGAAAGTATCATTGGCGCACTATTGAATGTGAAGGGGAAATCAAAGGATGGCCTTAAAGCTCATAAAGATTTGGAAGAAATGGGCATTAGACACAAATTGCCTGCGGAGGACAGGGGGACTCATTTTTATTTTCCACCGGCATCACATACACTTCAAAAGTCGAGAAGCAGATCTTTTGTTCTAGGTTACGTGATTTAAAGTTGCCTGATGATTATAGCTCCAATATTACTAATTGTGTTTTATTAGAAGAATGCAAGCTGATAGGCCTCAAGTCACATGATTGTCACGTCTTGATGCAACAGTTGTTGTCAGTAGTATTGAGAGGACTTTTACCAGAGGGACCAAGGAATGCAATATTCTGATTGTGTACTTTTTTCAATCAAATATGTGAGAGTGATTGATAGGAATAAATTAGAACTACTCGAAGAAGATGTTGCTGAGACTTTATGTATGTTGGAAAGGTTCTTCCCTCCATTTTTTGACATTATGGTTCACTTGACAATCCATCTAGGATGAGAAGCTCACATATGTGGGCCGGTGCAATTTCGTTGGATGTACTCATTTGAAAGGTGAGGTGTATATCACTTTTTATTATGTATATCTATTGATGTATTTGTCAAATAAGCTATTAACCTGAATATTAATTATATTATGGTCTAGATATATGAAGATACTTAAGGGATATGTTAGGAATCGTGCAAGACCTAAGGGATGCATAGCGGAATGCTATATAGCTGAAGAGTGCATGCAGTTTTGTAGTGGGTACATGAAGCAAGCAGCTGAAATAGGTGCTCGACATAACCGCAATAAAGAATTTGAAAATGAAACAATACTAGAAGGACGTCCGATTACTTTGGGGAATTCAATCATGATACCTGATGATATGTTACAAATTGCTCATTGTTGTGTGTTGATAAACAGTTCTGAAGTCCAACCATATTTAGAGTAAGTATGATAACATAAATATCTATTACTAATTGAGTGTTTACATGATATAGTTATCTCACAATTTGCCTACCTTATTAGAATGCACGCGGAGGAGCTTAAGCTTTTGGACAGACATTTCTTAAGGGATGCCGCGCTACTACATTCAAGACAAATGGACACTTTTTCTCAGTGGTTGAGAGCAAAGATTGAATCATGTGGTAATGAGGTTTTAGATACATTGAAATGGCTTGCAGTTGGCCCAAGAAAGCATGCAACGTCTTATTTGGGCTATATCATTAATGGGCATCGCTTTCATACAAGTGATGTTCAAAGGTCCACACAAAATAGTGGTGTTTCCATTGAAGCAGAAACTATTTATCGATCTAGTAAGAAAGACATTGCACAAGTTATTGAAAAAATCTATTTCTATGGGGCTATCAGAGACATAATTTTGTTGGATTACTACAAATTTCAAGTTCCTCTATTTAAATGTGACTGGGCAACTACTGGAAACGGTGTCAAAGTTGAAGATGGATTTACATTGGTCAACATCCAACAAGGACGAAATCCATTTGAGAGAGATCCATTCATTCTAGCATCACATGCAAAACAAGTGTTCTATTTGAGGGATAGTGATACATCTAGTTGGGAAGTTGTACTTAAAGAACCTTCAAGAGGCTTTCATGATTTGGATATGTATGATGAAGATGCCTATATGCCATCTGCACCTTTAGATGCATCTAGACTTGATGCAAATACTAATGATGAAGATGAGCACTACGTGAGGATGGATTGTGAGGGTGTGGAAGTGTTGCATGATTAAAGAGAAGTAGGAACATTTGGTTTTCATATAACCGAATGCTTATTGGGCTTGACTTGACTAGTTCTCCTTGTCATTTTTTATTTTATTTTTTCCTTTCTATATACATTGCTGAAGTCTAAATTTTTCTTTGTATCAGTTGGTAGACAGTCCACTGAACTTTAATTGTTTGCTGGTACTACTACCCAGCTGTATAGCTGCTCTTAGTGACCTGTGGATGGATTGTCTTGTGCTTATCATTAGTGACATGTGGATGTATAAAGTTTTTCATTGATTTGATATTTTTGTTGAAAAGTTACCTATTGTGTTCTAATTTCTTGTTTGGTTGCAATGACCCACATTAGACCTTTGCCCTACATGAACAACGCTATTGCATGGGGTAATTGCTTATAATGGTAATTTGTTGTTTTTTATTTTTATTTTTTTATTACCGAGTTTATTAGAGAAATGCTAATTGTATTTTATATTAGAGAAGTACTGTATACAGTTGCATATTTTAGTTCCTATTTACCGGACTGGTGTCTTAGTAACTGCCCTGCAACTTGCACTGGTGGTCTATCACCTGTGTGATTTTTTATTTATTTTTTGTTTTTCAGTTGCTCTTTACTTAACAATGAAAGTTTATTATTATGCTTGCCAAAAAATCTGATTTCCCTTTGTTTTGTTGATCTGATTGTTATTGTGAATGCCTATTTTCTTATTAACAGTTGAATCTTGAAATTGTTAACTAGCAAGATGAGTGGAGAGGTACTTTATTTCTCATTTAACATAAAATTGAATTTATAACCAATTATTGTCCACATTATTTCTTATTTTTCCTTGTGTATTGCACATAGTTCAAAAAAAGCCGAGAAAATAATTAGGAAGGAGCGTGAAGCTATAATTGCTGCGACAACGGATAAAAGAAGAAATGCATCCTTCAGAATTTCAGATGAGTGTTTTTCTTCTCCATATGTTGAATCACATGATATGGAAGGAGTTGTAGACTCCACTCAAGTACCAAAGAAGAAAACTAGGAGGGCATCAAAGCTAAAGATGCATGACAAAGAAAAACAAAAGTGTGATGAAATGGACTTCAATGAAAGGAATCAGCCTGTGGGACCTGAGTCAGTTAAACTATCGACTTTAGAAGGGATCTTGGCACGAGAGATGGTGCCAATAACCACAAAGAGATGGCCTGATATTCCATAAGAGGTTAAAGACAAGCTATGGGCTTGTGTGAAGGTAACATGAGAGGGTAATTTATATGAAAATTGGGCTGAGCTGGGTGATGGGCCGGCCCAAGAGAGGTGTAAAGTTACTCCGGCCCAAGAGAGGTGTAAAGTTACTCCGGTCCCAAGGAGGTTAGCTCGGTCACCATACTAAAACTTATACCGGTTATAACGCAGTATGGTTAGCTTGGTCTAAACCATGCTAAAAGTTAGCTCGGTTTAGACTTACCACAGTTTGTACAAGAGGAACTGAGGTAAGGGCAGTAAAAGGGCGAGCCGAACTAAGGATAGTTCAGTCTGTTCTACGGCTAAGCATAGCCATGCGTACCTCGGCCACATTGGAGTCCAACCATGGTAAAACCATCTTACTTGGTTTAAACAGTGAGGGGGGTGTTGAAGGATAGGCATTATCTTTCAGGAGTATGAATCCTAGGAGGACTCTACATGAAGGAGTAAGAGTCCTATTTGGATTGTGCCACACGGAACCTATAAAAGCTCACAAACATCACCTATGGAGAGGTAACACACAATTTTGATTCTCTAATACACAGAGCTTTTTGTCTTTGTCTATTTTGCTGACTTAGGCATCGGAGAGGTATCCGGCACACACCCGCCAGCTAGCTCATGTTTGTATTTTCAGGGAGTAAAGTGACGACGTACGGAGGAGCGCAGACTTGATCAACAGGATTATACGAGAAGGTTTATTTCTTTCCCGTACAATTGGCACCATCTGTGGGAATTGCAGACTAGAACAAGACCTCTTGATCAAGCTTTTCCTCTTTAAAAGCAATGGCGCACAACGAAGATTTGCCGCAGTCCGCCATCGACGGACAAACACCAGAGGGTGGTGCAAGACGCGAAGGCCTACCTTCTATCCCTCCCATGGAGGACTTAGAGCCACAGCGACAAAATCCCAGGAGGGATACAAGGGGGAGGAGGCGGACTAACAGCCCCCATCACTCTCGTTCACGAAGTCCTGACAGACAAAGGAGGAGGATTGATCCTCAAGTTCTGGAGGACCGCGTGAAGGAGTGTAACAGCGCCCGCGTTGGGGACCTCGATGCTACAGTTCGGACTCGATTTGTGTCACGGTTCTAAATCTGAACCAAAGAGTCCAAATCTGGCAAATCGTTTGAGAAAACAGATTTTATTGAAAAAGTAGTGCCAAACATGGACTGCTTTGCCAGATACAGAGTCGCCACCTAAATATTTTCGAAATCGCTCTCACAGAGAGAGAGAGAGAGAGAGAGAGCTCGATTTGGGTCATACGCGAATTTCAGATTCAAAATTAGGGTTGCATAAGAAGGGGAGACCCAGCGCGTGAGGCACAACGCATTTGGAGGCGCTTTTAAACGCCTCTTATTGTAAAACGGTGTCGTTTTATTAAATAAATATGCGACGTTTTGTAAAACGTCGTTAAATATAAAAAATAGTGACGTTTAAAAATGCGTCGTTAAAAAAACGCCATCTAAACTCTTTTTTCTTGAAATGAGAGAATTTGTTTGATTACAAAAATCAAACTCGAAATAAAATAAAAAAAAATAAATAAAAATAGATTTTATTTTGTTACAAAAACAAAATTTAAATCTGATTTAAATAAATAATAAAAGACTGGAAATAAATTAAATAACTTATTTGATTTAATTTCTTCGAATTATAATCTGATCAAGTCTAGTGTTTGACACTGTGTCCTTAAGACAGATTCGTCCTCTCCTCGGTGCTTTCAGAAATTGGACGTCTATCTTCCAAGATGAAATGATCTACTACAAACAATAGCAACACTACAAATTGTTTGCCTTACGAACACACTATGTGTTTACACTCTTTGTTACGGAAATAAAATGCAGCAAGATGAAGAATATAATTAGCAGAAGTGAAATACGAAATTTCTGAATCTAAAACATCAAATGAGGGTGGTCCTATTTATAGATGTAAAGGTGACTCTTGGTTTTGAATTGAACAGGTATGATGTATGAAACCTGTTGGTTTTGAATTCAAACAGATTTGAATCTGTTGAGTTATATATCAAACAGATAACAAAACGGGAAGGGCCCTGATTGGGTATGCAATAATACCATACTGGTTTATTTCGGGAAGGGCCCTGTTTGGATGTACAGTAAAACCAAACCAGTTTAATTATTTCGGGAAGGGCCCTGTTTGGATGTACAGTAAAACCAAACCAGTTTAATTTTGAATTATGGATTTTATTTTAACAAAAAATAAAATTAAATTCAAATGTTTTTGGCCCAAAAAGATTAGTATTGGGCCGAACAAGCCCAACCTCACACTACGCACCCGCGCCCAAGCCTAGGTCCAGCCCAGCCCACTCGACCGGACGGACGACGGCGGCGGCGGCGCGCGCGCGCGTGTGGTGATTTTTGGGTCTAATGGGTCTAGCCCATTTTGCCCATAACCTCTCCCTCTAAAACACTTGGGTACCCCTTGGGGCACACCCCAAGTACCAAACCCAAGCCTTATAAACCCATTCAAAACCTCCCATCAAATCAATGTGGGATAAGCCATTTTACAATCTTAAGGAATTTTCACCAAAAACTCCATTTCTATGGAGCACACTTTGGCTTCAATTTCCCATTCACTCGGTAATGGTTTTGAGCAACCAAATATACCACGTGAATCACAACGCGGCATAGAACGCATTACCACTTTGACCCGTGAAAATCGACACACGGGGCCCACCTAAAAAATAGACCAAACTTAGAAAAAAATTCTAGTTTTCTCCAGAATTTTATAACCATTTCTAACAACCCCCCACATGAATGGAATTTGATGACAACGGAAATGCAACAATATGCAGATTTATCGAAAGAGTATAAGTCAAAAATATCTTGCATCAGGATAGGTAGTTTTCGGTCGTGAACCTTCCCTAGTGATAACCTATCAGACTTACTGTCTAACTAATGGATGCGATGCCTTGAATTGTTTAGCCGTTTGTGTAAGCCAAGATAATAGATTTCACACAAAATATCTTCTAACACATCGTAGTTCTCACTGTTGTGTTCATTTTGGCCTTGAACGCGCCTGGTTTTCATAAGTGTTTCTAGAGAATTTAGCCTCTTCATTATCATAGAATCAGCCCCAGTTCAACACTCATAAAGGTGATTCTTATTGTGAGTATCTCCTTATACTCGTCTTGATTTATATCTCAATCAAGATATAAGTAATCATTAAAAGCAAAATTTGGCATACAACATATGTTGCAGATATCACTCTCACCATAGGAATGGGAAGGAACTTAATT